CTTCCAAATTCTTTTTCAGGGACCTTCTTTTTCAGGTACAAGGACTTACAGCTCTAACTGTAGACACCAAAGAAGTGCACTCCCTTTGCATCTTTTACTGAGACTCTCTCTGTGAATGAGTCAGACACACTTCATTCTCATCTTTCCCAGTACACCTCTTTGAGTGCCATGACAAAGACCCACCATCCATCTTTTGCTCATGGGATCTCTTCAGAGTGCTTCTGCAGTTTATTTTCAAGGGCTCCTCCTGCAAGGGATCAGAGAGAGTTTGGTCTTTTGTCTTTTTCCCCACCTGAATCTTGCCTTTGAGTAGCCTTTTCTGCTATCATAAATTCAGCATTCATCTCTGGACTGAAACATAGAGCTGTTTTTTTCTACTCCACAGGCTGTAACAATTTGTGGATATGGAATGTTTTGACACTTTCATGGGATTTTTTTTTAATTTCTAATAATACTTAAGGGATCTAGCAGACATTAGGATCCCATTTTTTACTTAACACTTCATCTGTATGCAATAAGAGAAAATTTTGGCCTCACACAACAAGCAACTGAAATAGCCAGCTGAACTACTGGAACCACTTCTTAAAAAAGAAAAATGTAGGATATAAAAATTATTAAATAATGCATTTATGATGGATTGTAGAAGAAAACAATGTGCTTTACACATCTAAACTTAATATCCCAGGTGGAAGTTCACCACAAAATCTTCTTTCTAAGCTGTTTTCATACACATTAAGATCATAATTAAATTCAGATTTTTATTTTTTTTTAAATTTAAATTCTCAAAGTATTGCTGAATGTTGAATGGATTCTAAGCAGGAAGGAATTTCAATGTTAATTCTGCTTTCTTAGTAACAGAGGGATATGATTATTTATGATGCAAATATAGTGAGTTTCACCAAAGTGTGAGTACTAATGTGTACATAAGGACAGTAACACATGAAGATTTCTGTCTTCTGCGTGTGTGAAGACTCAAAAGTGAAGAAAGTAATAAGGAAAATATCTGCAATATTAAGAACAAATTTTTCTATTCTATCACAGAAGTCAAAACAACTAACTTCATAGAACCTGTTTATAGAGGATGAAGAAATTTTTTACTGTATTTTTTTTCAATAATTTTTCTATGTAAATAAGAATTCCTATCTTGGGAAAGAGGCTGGCATCATTTTCCCTTTGCCTCCCTATACGTGGTCAGCAGCAGGGGCTGCCATCTTGGGAGGGGGCAGCACCCCACCATTTTGGGAGTCTCCTTGTTCCCATGGGGCTCCTGAGACTTAGCAATTTTGTGTTAAGTGACTATTTACTAGTTGGTTTGGGGGTGTTTTGCCTGTTGCTGTTTTGCCTGTTAGTAACGGGTATTTTTTAACTTTTAATATTTGTTCCTTATAGGTGGAAAGGGACTGGTTGAAATTAGGGGGGGCAATTCATTTTAATGAGTGTACACATCTTTAAACTGCCATGACAAAAAGAAAGGGAGCAAAGCCCAGAACAGATGTCTTGTCAGTAAAAAGAAACTCCTCTGGCAAAAGTCAAAGCACACACTATAGGAAACACCAAGTTGCAGAAAACCTTCTGGTTTTGTTGTCCTCAGTGCCTAGCTAACATTACTGGCACTCCTTTCTATGAAACTTCTTAAAGTTCAAATTCAATTTACAAAACATAAAAGATTAATTGAAATGTCTAAAATTTACTTATTGTCATTTTCAACACAAAACGAACTTCATACATATTTCATTACATCTGTACTGAGCGTATAAGTGCAAGCGTCTGCAATAATCATGTATTTCAGTAAGTATTCCAAAAATATAACTTTTATGCATGGCTTCTGGGATCAAAGCCAGTTGTAGCTACAAGATGGTCTACACAGCTGCTACCACATCACATGAACCTGGAGAGTGCCAAGCTAAAGGGAGAGAAACAGGACCCAGCTACAACCCCCTCTTTCTTTAAATAGTTTTCCATTTCAACTCCCCTGTATTGTTCTGCAACATCTTACATCCTACAAATAGAAACACAGAATTGTAGGATACCCTGAGTAGGCAGGGATCAGGATCACTCAAGTCCAACCCCTGGCCTTGCACAGGACATCATAAGAATCACTCCATATATTTTAGAGCATTGTCCAAACACTTCTTGATCTCTGTCAGGCCTGGTGCTGTGACCACTTTCCTAGGGAAAAATCCTCTGGGTGAAAAACCTCTTTTCTAATGTCCAACCTAAACCTATCCTGACATAGCTTCAGGCCATTCCCTTGGGCCCTATCACTGTCACCACAGAGCAGAGATCAGTGCCTGCCCCTCCTCTTCCCCTCACAGGGAAGTTGTAGCTGCAGTGAGGTCTCCTCTCAATCTCCTCTTCTCCAGCCTGAACAGACCAAGTGACCTCAGCTGCTCCCCGTATGGCCCTTCTAGGCCCTTCACCATCTTCGTAGCCCATACATATATGCTGCCCTGCAATGTGCAAACACAGAAGTTTTTCACACAGGAGAGAAAATAGTTCAGAAAATTGCATTCCAACACTCAGAATACGTGCCAAAATATTGGAGTGAAATACTGACACCACAGGAAGAAATGTCAGAACAAAGCATCAAAGCACAAAAGTGTTATATGGGGCAATGCCTCAAAGCATCCTGACTGTGACAAGCTGACAAGGAAATCTTGACTTAGAATGCATTTAAGTCAAAAAATAGTATGACAAAGGGCTCACAATGAAGCTATGAGGCACAAAGATTCTTAACTCTGGATGACTACTGAGGTTTAAAAAGGGAGAAAGAAATAAAGCACTTACTTTCAGCAATGACTAACTAAGTGAGAAGAAAACAGAATTGTTGGATGAAGAAGGGCCAGAAGTGTGTCATCAGGGCCTACAAGAAACTTTCAAAGCAAGTTCAGTGTTCAGAGGAAATGGAAAGGAAAATTGAATAGCCAATAGGCTACACGGATAGAACAACTCTGAGGCCAGGCTGGCACTGGTTGGATTCACAGAACCACAGCTGGCTGCCTGCTCCTACTTTTGTCTTTCTCTTTGCTAAGATGCACAATGGAACCTAAGATTGGCCCATGTAGGGATTAGTTTTGCATTAAATACCAAGACAAAAGGAAGGAGCTCTTTATTTTCCTTGGAAGATCTTTCCTTCTGGATTTTTTGCATCCAATTTTACAAATACAACCTAGGTGTGAGATTATATCCAGTAATTCTTAAACACATATTGACAGCATTGTGTGTATCACATCCAATACTAATCTATACTCAGATGCAGTCAAATTCAGCTCCTTCTCTTGTAGATCACTGTAGCTGCCTGACATTGGTGGTACTGCAAAGAAAAGTTCAGTCTCTGACAGTTGGCTGACTTTTTCTAAACTGGACATAACTCTCCAAGTCAGAACTTTTATGAAGCACCAGCTGTGGTAAACACCCCTCATCTGCAATGAGACTCAAAACACTCTCAGCTTTAAAATTAATTCAGCTCCTGTTGGAACTAATTCCTTCACTACAAGATGAAGGGATGAGCTCAAAGTATTTTCAGTTGGCTCTTTACAGATCGAGAAGACACCCAGACTGCTACTGAACATCCAGCATCACCTTCAGAAACATCCTAAATGGAACTCAAAGTAACACTTTGAAAGGAATAGCTTGGGCTAGCCTCACTTGCATGTAAGGCTTGATAAAAAGCACAGTCAAGGGCGATTTTGTTGCAGTTCACGCACAGGAGATGCCTAAGCACCCATTAGAAATCAAACATTAAAATATAACAAGATCCAAATGCTAGGTCCTGCAGCTAAAATGTATTACAGAGACAGCTGACAACAGTCGTATTTGTTTAAATATTCAGACTTCAAAGCAGAATTCTAGGCACAACAGTGCCATCCAGGGGCCAGCTAATTGCTGGTGAATTTCCTCTTTTTTTTTTTTTTTTTAATTTTTTGGGTGGGGGGTGGTTTGTTTTCTTTTGGGTTGTTTGCTTTTCGTTTTTTGTTTTGTTTGGTTTTGGGGTTTTTGTTTCTTATATAAACAAAACTTGGATTGTTTAAAACAATTTCCCCAAGTATTTTCAAATATGACCTCCGTTCTTTTGAATAGTGCAGCAGATAAACAGAAATTTTAAAAAACCCAAAACAAACAACAAAAAAAAAAAAAACCAAAAAACCCCAAAAAAACAAAACAAAACAAAAAACCCCAACAAAACCCAACAGAAAAACCACCCAAACCTGATTCATTCTCTACACATATTAAGCTTTGCTTTCATTCAAGCATGGGTTTTGCAAAAGCTTCAACAGAAGAATATAAAAATTTAAATCAACAAATCCTTCTAGCACAAGAAACTGGCAATGATGAGGAAAGTTCTGATGAAATTTTGCCAAAATTTTCAGAGTGAGACATTACTCAATCCAAAACACATGCTCAGCCACACTTCACCACGGCTATTTAAAATTAATTATGTATATAAAAATTCACACAACAAAAGCTTCAAGACGTATAGTTTCTACACAGCCCTAAATCTTCCTTCTGCACAACGGGAAACTCAATCTGAAAATTGTACAGCACTTTGAAAACGGAGGCTGTTTTCTCAAGGTGGTGATAGAGCAAAGCCCAGAGCTACGGCAGCGGCCTCAGCTTGCTCCTGCAACGCGCTGCACCCAGCAGCAGCACGGCGGGAAAGGCAAAAAACCCAAAATATTTATATTATAAACTAGTCACGGGAGTAAAGGCCACTTCAGTTTAAGGATTTATAAACCTACAACCCCCGGATTAAGCAACCAAGCCGGCAGGCCGGCCGGCGCCGCCAAGCACAACGCCGCGCTGCGATACTTCAGGTCCCGCCTGGTGGGCGGCGACCTCCTCAGGAATGGCCCAGACGCCTCGGGGAGGCCGGGCTCGGGATCCGCCCCCTGCGCAGGCCGCTCATGGCGAGCGAGCAGCAGGAAGAAGCCCAATCAAAGCTCCAGAGCCCCGTTTTGAACGAGGGCTCCGGGGCGGGGCGGGAGCGGCCCTTCGGCGCCTGCGCGTGCTTTCGGTTCGTGCGGCGGCGTGGGGCGCGCTCGGGGCGGCCTGCGGGGCTCTGCGGCGTCATGGCGCCCGTGCTGAACCTCAACAACGAGGTGAGACACTCGCCGGGGGGAGCGGGCCGGGGGGCTTGGGCCGGGCAGGGCCGCGGCGGCGGATCGCCCTGCGAGCGAGCCGCCTTGGGGCCGGCGCTCCCCGCAGCCGGCGTGGCGGCCTGCAGCCGTGGGGAAGACCGCAGGTGAGTGCCGCCGTCCCGGGGCGTGGGAAAACGCGTCCCATGGTGCTGGAGCTCAGCTGTGATGAAAACAAACATCCGTCGGGTGAAGTGAAGCTACTTGTAGGGGGGTGCCGCGCCATTTCGACACGTGTGCCTCGGTGCGACGTCCTGTCCTCGAGTGTCCTTCCATCACGCTTGTCTTGCTGTGTTTGTGTTCCCACTGAAGTTTTGCAGGTGATCCAGCGGACCCACCAAAGCCCCAGCTGCCTGTCTCCCGGATGGCAAAGATACTGCCTTATTTTCCTGGACATGGAGGGACTGAAAATGAAAAACTGATAGGTTACAGCTAATTTCTTCCTGTTCTGTGAGAAGTTTGGTGTTTCATATTTATTTCAGTATATTCTTTTTTTCTTCTTGGTAGTGTGAATTCGGCTATGTGTGTTTCACTTTTGATGGGTTTTGGTTATGTATTTGCAAATCATTGTGCACAGTAAGCCTGACTCAACTAAAGTAACCTTATTTTAGGTGTTGCACCAGCAGTTTAGAATAGCTGGCAGTTCTGCTGAGCATGTGTGATACCGGCACCTGCACTTAGCACTGTGCACCTCCAGAATTCCTACGTAACTAACAGCTTGATTACAGTTATCAGCAGAACAAAACTTACTTTGTTTTAAGTATGTGGTAACTTGAAGAGGGGTTAATTTGCAAGTTGATTTCAAGAATTCAGTGAAGTGTAGCGTCTTCATCAGGAAAAGTGTTTGATAGTACATAAAATCAAGATATTTACTCGGTAGTTTTTGGTTCTTGCTGTTAAGTGTAAGGTCAGAAATGAGTGATTTAACGTTGAAACATACTGGTAAATCACCAAGGAAGAAAGATGGTATTTCATTCATTGTGGTAATGTGGACTTCTTGTGATTGATTCACATTTGGATGATGTTTCACAGTCTTTCACCACAAAAATAACAAGGGATGAAAACAGAAGCATTCTTTGACTGAGGAGCTCTTCAGAAAAAGAGTACAGTAAGTCTCTGCACAAAACATTGGAAGACTTCAGTAAGGACACTGGGAATGCCATTTCACCTTACACTTAGAACATAACTTTCTCCTAAGAGGAAACTGAATGTTCTGGAGGAGATTACTTTTGTAGAAACTGGTAAAAGCTGACAGTCTGTAGTAATAGGTCCATCTGAGATGTAAGGTAGGACAGAGGCTGAAATCCTGGATGCCATCTCTTCAGGAGAGTCAGAAGGTCAGTCTGGCTTAGAGTAGAATGAGACCTAGCGTGAGTAGATTAAAAGGTGTTTTCCATTTCTATGCGTATGTCCTTTTGTATGTGTCAGAGCTGTATTAATTACTGTGGTGTTTAGTTATAAAATGTAAAAGAAATTATTTATCAATACCTGGATATTTCATATCTCTATAACAGATACCCCCTGGGTATTTGTTACAGAGATGCCCTTGTAAGAATAAGTCCCCATTTTAAGATTAAAAATCATATCTTCCTCTAATGAGGAAGAAATTAAATGGAGGAATTTTATTAGGACCATTTTTAAAGGAATAACTTTTGAAAATGCAGTCTATTAAATAATATTTCTTGTATATTCTTCCAATTTGCTAAGGGAAAGCAAATTATGGAGTAGCTGTATGCTGTGCACCTTCAGCTTTTCACAACCAGACAATACTGGGGATCATATGGGTTTTTTCCCATTAGGTCATATTCACTAGATATTATGATATTTGTTGGAGAGACAACCTTTTATAGCTGATAAACTTGTTTGCTGGATTTACAGCAGTCCAGTATCTGAAGGGAGTCTACAAGAAAGCTGGAGAAAAGCTTTTCTCAAAGGCATGTAGAGATAGTATAAGAGGGAATGGCTTTAAATTGAAAGAGAGTAGATTTAGATTAGATATTAGAAAGGAATTCTATGCTGTGAGGGTGGTGAGGCACCAGCATGTGTTGGGCTGTGCATATGTGGATGCCCTGTCCCTGGAGGTGTTCAAGGCCATGCATTCCAAGCACCTTGGTCAAGTGGGAGATGACTCTTCCAATTGTAGCAAGGTTGGAACCAGATAGTCTTCTAGGTCCCTTTCAACCCAAACCATTCTATGAAATTCTGTGGTATTATATATTTCAGGTGTTAATTCCAGCTAAGAAAGACTTCTGCTTTAAATTAACATAAAATACTATGTCCTGCTAAATGGTGGAGTCTTAAGGAATTCTAGGATGATAGATTTCAAATTTTTTTTTTACCAATTCACCTTTTGTTTACAGGAAGAACAGATATTCTTAAAACCAGTGTTTCTCAGTGATATAAATGGCACTTATCCTAATGTTAATTGGCCTTTATTTTAATTACTTACTGGTTTTTGTTTGATATTAGTAGCTAACAAATAGTTATAAGTGTCAAAAAGCTTACACATGAGGTGTATATGTGCTTTGAAACTAGAGGACATGTAATTGCGTGATTATTTAGTGATGATGGTGATTAAGAAAATGCTCTGGGTAAATGAGACAAATAGTGGACTGTAGTGCCTGTGTCCTTTCTGAGAGCTTTTGAACTCATTGCCTAATTTCAGAGAAATTGGAAAGGAATGGAGACCTTAAAAGTTATTGGGCTTTGGGGTTTTTTTAAATTATAATTTGCTTAAAGAATAATACCTCCATGGAGCAATAGTCTCCCCACTGTTCTGATCTATGGGGAGCAAAGAATGAAAATGTACTGTTCAGGTGACTGGATGAATGAGAGATCTAAGGTACAATGTAAGGACCCAGTGTGAAAAGAGGAAATTGCAATTATTGTGATGAGGTGAAATAGACAGAAGATAATAAGAAACCAATCATATTCACAAATAATTAGTTTAGACATTTCATTAGTGTTTCTTTTCATGAAAAGTTGTTTATAGCAGTGCAAGTGCTTTAAAACATCACACTATTTCCATGTTAACAAGTAGGACTTGTGCCAAAAGTGTATAAATGTTTTCTTTAGTTTTCTCTAATTGAATATATACCTAGATAATAACAAAAAAATAAGGTCTTGACAGAACCCACAGTCAGCAAGGTCCAGTAATTTTAGGAAGCCATCTTGCTGCTGGTAAATAGCGTGGTACAGTTTCAGTGTGACTGAAAAATTGAGATTGAAAATTAAGAAAATGGTTAAGAAATACCATTTTTTTCTAATGTGGGCATAGTATTACTGTATGGGATTGCTGCTTTTTGATTACCAAGGAAGAATTGGGTGGGGGAAGGAGGGAGAGTGGGTGCATAGGAAATAAAACCCAGAAAATTGGAACAAAGTGAAACAGTGAAGACTAGAGTCTTTAGGAAAGAAGAAAATGCAGTATTTCTTACCATTTTCTACTCATTGTGTTCACTGAAACAAAGGAAAGCATAAGTTGTAGAATGAAAATTTTAGTTTTGCAATTCCATATTCACTGCATATGGTCTTACTTTTGAAGGGTTTGTCTGTATTAATCCTAATTGTATTCTCCAGTTGTGGTTACTCTTACAAGCATGCAGGCTGAAGGAATCATTTTAAAAACCTGTTGCTGTCTTGAATATGTTTCCTATTTTAAAAGGCTGTCTAAGAAATTTCAGGTGTCTTGCCACAGAATAGCTTCCAAAGTTAAACTTTTCTTGAAACATTTGCTAGATGGCAGCACATAATCATCAATTACCATGGATAAGGGCTAGTTTAAAGGGAAATAGCTCATGTTTAATGTGAAAAATTATCCTTGTTGATCAGCAGTACACAATAGTATGAAACAGAAGCTGTTGAGAGGGAGCCCTACAGATTTGTAGGGTTTTTTTCAGAACCTGTGCTGCTTAAACTATGTTGTTCTGCTTTTACAGCCATAATCTGCTATAAGTATTGAATTATTGCAACAAAAAATTCTGTTCTCTTTTTAGCCCTTTTTGTTTTTTTAATGGTATTCTGTTTGCAGCTACCTCAGGGAGCTATGCTGCAGAAAACTCATGAAGCTAATGCAAATGAAGTCTGTATACAGTGTTGTAAAAATCAGTGTTCTTATATGTATCTCCATGAGAGCCATAACAGCTAAAGTTGAATAGTAGTAAGGCATCATAATATATAAAGCAATTTCTTAGAGATGAGAGTAATTTCTGTCTATGTGACGTGCGAATCAAATTTTCCAAAATTGGATTAAATTGATTAGATATCAAAATTTTGCTATCTGGTGAATTTTTCTCTTTAATTTGTAATAATTGATCGTATGTGGACAAAATAATTTTTCTCTTTATTTTCAAAACTACAGGTTTTAGATAATAAAAAGTGATGTCTGTTTAATGCTTGTCATCTACAATAGAATTCTTTTTCTTTCCTGAAAGGTAGCTCAAAATAAAATCACACCTTGAGAATGATTCATGTGTGCACATATTTTTCAGCCTGTCAAGCAAAGTCCAGACTTAAAATTGTTATGTAGGGAGCTTAGTAATGAAACTCAAGGTGATAAATTTCATTTATATTGTTTTGGGTCCCAGCACTTTGTGTTGTGTTGTGATACTCTACATGGCAACACTTAGCTCTTCTACTCTTTAGATTTAGGGCTGACATCGTGGCCTCAGATTTAGCCAGGCAGCAGTTTAGGTAATGGCACGTTTAGAAAGTAGCCTGGATATGTGAATTAAGAATTTAGATTGGTGTATTCCAAAGTCAGGTATGAGTAGCGTGGCTGATAATGAAAAAAATCAGACAAAAAGCCATGGGGAATAACCTTAAGGAGAAAGTTAAGGTTATACAGTCTCTGGAAGTCTGAAACTGCGGTCTTGAGTTTTAGCTGTAGTTTAATAATTGTACAGAACTATATCTGTAATTATTTTATCTTTTATCACAGTGCAAATAGAAGTAAATGTATATTT